AAGTTATAGAGACCTAGCACGCACAAGGCCCCGGGCCCAAACCCCAGGTCTGTAATAATAATAACATATATCATATATATATCATATAATATATATCATATAATAAATGTTATATACTATAATAAATAATGTATTATATATAATTAAAAATAAAGAGTTTCAACTTCTGGCAACTTATCCTACAGTATCAGTCTTTGAGCAAATCGATATCTACATGTTACGAGGATCCTTAAAGGGCTGTGCAGAAATGGGGGCCATACAGGTAGATCTCTAGCTGCCCAGCCCAAGACCCACGCGGAGACTAGCCAGCACATTTCCGCAACACACGGCACCACGACACCCACGGGAACACAGGTTCTCCACAGGTGCCAGCCACTCATCAAGATGACAGAGTATGAAGGCAAAGGATGAGCTGTGCGAGGGGAGAAATCACAAGAAATGAAAATAGGAAGTAGATTGTTCAAGAGTTTGAAGTATTAGAACAAGTGCAAGTAAATGGTTAAATAGTTTCTCTCTGGGTGTAGGTGGTCATTACTGGGGTTTGAACTAAGGTCTAGGGTGTTCTCCCTTAGCTTTTTCTTTCAAGGCTGGTGTTCGACCACTTGAACCACAGCTATTGTGGCTTTTAGGCTGCCAATTGGAGATAAGGGAGTCTTGGGCTGGCTTTACACTGTAATCCTTAGATCTCCTGACTGGCTAGGATTGCAGGTGTTGTGTCGGGGTTCTTAATTTCTTCAAAAAAGAACTGCGACTTCACATTGATCAAAGGGGGGGGGAGGCAGATTTGTAAGATAACAATGTCTAGAAATCTAAAAGATAACTTGAAATTTGAAAATCCATCTGAGAGTTAGATGTAGATGACCTGAAGATATCTCACGGAAGAGAATGTAGAGCTGGGGAAAATACTCAGAATCCAGCACAGGGCGTGAGAAGAGCCTTGTGGTACTGGTGCGGTGGTATGCTTGGTGATGCCAGCACTCCTGAGGCTGAGGCAGGAGGAGCATGAGTTCAAGGTCAGCCTACACTAGGTAGTGAGTCCCAGGCAAGGCTAGTGTGCTCCTAAGACCCGGTCTCAAAAAAATTTAAAAAGCAACTGTGGAAGAGACGTGGCAGGCATGTAAACTGGAGCTCATGGTCTCCGCCAGCTGGGGTTTTGCCCTCCGAGGTCTCCCCTGTGTGTGATGGCCCCACTGTCCAACCCACAAATACGGTCAAGGGAAGGATGTGTGTAATGGCCGGAGCATCTTCCCAGGGCTATGGTCCATAGCGCGGGAGCAGTGTCTAGCTGGAATCTCTCTTTGGTGAAGAGCATGGGTAGTCGTGTTCAGAAGCCCGTGGGCTCCCTCCAGATGCAGACAGCTGCCTTGACTGGACAGTCACACAGCGACCTCAGGCCTAGGACCACAGGGAAGTCAGTGCCACCAGCGAACTCAGCGAGCCTGGGAGCCAAGCCCTCGCCCGTGCAGCCTCAGATGAGCCCCCTCTGTGACGGCCCCCCTGACTTCTGCCACAGGAAGCTGCGAACACTTCCGTTCCCTCCCCACAGGGCCTGTTGCGTTGTTAATGCTGTTAATTGAACTCAGCTGTCTCTCCTTGCTACCAAAACACGAATTTCTCCAAATGATTTTATCCTCCCTACTTTTTTTCTCTTCCAAAGGAATACTAATCAAAACACCCCCCCCCCACACACACACGGAAGAGGATGGTCAAAAATAAAAAACATATTCCTTTTTAGTATAGATATTAAATTTGAAACATGAGGAAAACAAAATGTGTTTTTATTATTCAAGTAAACACAAGCTGTGTTCTAGAACATGGTCCAAAGTACTATGTGTGAATCTTCATTGTTTTGTGAAATGACTTTTCCTTAGAAGCTACACTTGCCAGGAACGATGTCTACTACTAATAAAGACGATTAGACCTGCAGTAAGTTCTAGAGCGCCAACTGCACAGGTGTTTGCCAGAAAGCAAAAGGACAGGGAAATGTGGCCCTGATATCACATTTCTCTGCCGTGTTTATTTGTGCTGACATTTGTGGAGGAAGAGCTCATAGTTGAGGAGATCATGGCTCGGGTCTTGTGTTCAATGTTTGGAATTCATCCCTGCCTGTGGGCTTCTCCTTTTTTTGGTGTTGATCGTGAGGCCTGAACTCTGGGCCTGGACGCTGTCCCTCAGCTCTTCAGCTCAAGGCAAGTTTTCTACCACTTGAGCCACAGAGCCACTTCCAGTATTCTAGTGATTCACTGGAGATAAGAATCTCACAGACTTCCCTGCTCGGGCTGGCTTTGAACTGCGATCCTCAGATCTCAGCCTCCTGAATAGCTAGGATTACAGGCGTAAGCCACTGGCGCTGTCTCCTGTGAGCTTCTTAATGAGTGACTTACAGACAAGGCCAGCACAGACAGGCATCCACAGAGGATGAGAAACACAAGATGCAGAACAAAAAAGTTTTTATTCTTTTTGTGCAAATGTGAAAAGCTGCAGTCACACACAGCACAGCCGAAAATACAGAAGAAGGAAGAGAAAAGAGACAGCAATGTTTTTTAAGTAACAAGTCTCAGAACAGTAAGATATTTGGAAAATAGAAAAAGCAACCAACAATTATAAGGAAAACAGAATTGTGCACAGAGAGGGATTGTGCATGAGTATTCCTAAATAGATTTGGTAGGGAACCTAATATATCTTGGAAGGGCCTATCAATACATAATCACAGACACAACTAGAAGGGAATAATTATGTGAAAACTACTTACACAGTCTTTGGCTATAGTCTATTTAATCCTCATGGAAGATTTTAATGAATGCAAATATTGGTGGGAAAGTTGTCTCTGAGTCTCCTGTAGCAGTCCATTCAGCCTTTGACATGAGGGGAACAGGCTGGGTGTAAAGGAAGATTTCAAAACTAGTGGCTCCCAGTGAAATTACTGCCAATACTCCATGTGATATGGATTTGCTACTTAAAATCTTCTATTGCTATTGCAAAATAAAATGCAATTTATTTTCTATGCTTTTATTGTCTGTTATTTTGTCCTTCTGCTTGTCCATTTTTTGTTTTTTTTTTTCCTTTTGTTTTGTTCTTCTAGTCCTGGAGCTTCAATTCAGGGCCTGGGACCTGTCCTGAGTAATTTTTTAAAAAATTTTTGTTCAAGGCTAGTGCTCTAGCTGTTGTGCCACAGCTCAACTTCTGTTGGTTTTTTTTTTTCTGTAGTTATTTGAAGATTTTCACAGACTTTCCTGCCCAGGCTGGCTTTGAACCATGATCCTCAGCTTCCTGAGTAGCTAGAATTATAGGCATGAGCCACTAGCACCTGGCTCTGAATGGTATTTTTATATTTAGCTTGGTCATTTTCACAGAAAAAGAACTTTCTGAAAACAACTGGGACTTCATGACTATGGGATGTCCTCCAAAGTCTTCATTATCCTCATACTTTTTAAACCAGGGTAACTCATAAGGGTGCAGACACATACACAAAATCACCTCTGCATTGTCACATTAGTAATTCTCTGAATTAATTCATGGCATCAAAATATTTTCCCTTCCAATAACAAAAAATGTCTCATCTGGAAATCTATCTCCACAGAGAGATATTTAGCATAAATAATAATAGCATGCCAATGAACAGCTGATAGAAAAGTCAGCGCCGGTGGCTCACACCTGTAATCCTACTCATGAGGCTGAGATCTGAGGATCACGGTTCAAAGCCAGCCGGGGCAGGAAAGTCCATGAGACTCTTATCTTCAATAAACCAATATCTTATCTCTTATCTCCAATAAACTGGACGTGGCACTGTGGTTCAAGCAGTAGAGTGCTTGCCTTGAGCTGAAGAGTGCAGGGACAGCGCCCAAGCCCAGAGTTCAAGCCCCACGACCGACCAAAAAAAAAAAAAGTCAGCAAACTCTTACATTTATCAGCAATTATAAATCATTGTTTTTTTGGAAAAGGGAAAATCTTGCCAAAAACACAAAATTAATAAAGTATTACCTGTGATTTTGCTGGAAAACAGAAGATCATTTGAAATTGGCAATAATACTAGAAAAGTATATTTTAAATATCAATACACAATAATCTTCTTTCAATAATATTGGGTGAGTAATTCCCTGCTTCCTCCTTATGTATTTGCCATACATCAGAAAACTGGCAATAGTTCATTTAAATAGCTTTACATTTAGCCATGCATAGATATGCAGTTCATATAATTTCCAAGTTTTCACATCTTACTAATCAACAAAAATGAAAATCATAAATGAAAATAGGATCATAAGAAATGAGAGTGCCTTCTGATAGCAAATTATATCATACATAAGACAGAACAGTTCTTAATTGGGATAGAAACCACTCGGATATGAAACTATTAAGAATACCATGTTTATATTAAATAACTCAATAATGAGATATTTCTGGTTTTGTCAAGAATAATTGTTTGCACTGTTGAAACTTGAATAGGAATATACTTTATGTAGACCTGTATTGTGCTATGCTTCAAATTAGCTTTGAATTAATTTTCATTTTCAAGATATGTGTGTCTGTGCATGCATGTGCACGTGCACATGCGTGCATGTGTGCAAGAACTAGGGCTTGAACTCAGGGCTTGGACACTGTCCCTTGGCCTTCTTGCTCAAGGTTGGTGCTATGACACTTGAGCTTTAGTTACACCCCTAGCTTTTTGCTAGTTAATGTAGGTAAGAGTCTCATGGGCTTTTCAGCCATGCCTGCCCTTTGAACTATGATCCACAGATCTCAGCCTCCTGAATAACTGGTATTACAGGCGTGTTATCGGTGCCGGGCTCAAGATGGTTTTGCTTCCTTTACTCTTTTCAAGACCCCATACCAAGTCAAGGCATTTCTTAAACTTCAGTGGCTCACACGTGAGAGGGTCAATAACCTTCCTGCTCCCCCCACTCAACCACCGGCTCATCGTTCATGCGCAGAATGAGGTAAGACAGGAGCTGGAAGAGGTTTTGCCAGAGTAAGAGGGAGACATAGAAGGCCAGGCCGCTTACGTCTAGCTCACAGCGCTGGCCTGCGAAGGCCAGGCCGCACACGCACTGGAATCGGTTCCTCAGGTCCTGGCACAGTCCCCCGTTCTGGCATGGCCTGGAGGCACACTCGTCGATGTCCTCTTCACACCTGGAAAACAACCGGAGGCATCAGAGACCCAGGGCGCTGCACCAACCTGCCGCAGCGGCTCCTCTGCCCCGGCTCCCCAGCATAGGGCCCTGGCTGCCGATTTCCACACTGTGTACACAGACTTCCTATGACTCCTTTCCATTCCTGCAACACACGTGCAGCTCAGTGGGAAGGATCTGCGCATGCACACATGGATCCGCTGGAATGAGAACACAGCGGCCAATATTTGGAAACTGGGTCATGCATAAGCCAATTTCTCCCTTAAGAGCATTAAGGGGCTTGCCACCTTGTAAATGTTCAGTTTATTAGGGGCACAGAGCAACCAGGAGGGCAGGCAGCAGGATGCCAGCCGAGGCTGCAGGCCCCACCCGCAGGAGGCTACAGCCTCTGTGCCCCTCGGACGACATAGAGACAGACTCAAAAAAAAAAAGGCTCATTCTGGGACATTTTCCTTTTAAAGTCACAGTGCAGAAGGAGGCGATTAGTTCTCACTTGTTCATGGATCTGTGTTCTAATCACTCAGTGTCATTTCTGAATGTTCTGATAAAAGGGCTTGCAAAGCCAAGTTTTCCGATGGAACAACTTCATCTTGCCCTCTTCCCCCAGACCCTGTCCTCATCTATTCATCGTGCTTTTCTTTTGATTTCTGTTCCAAAACAGATACTGCTTTCATTTAACTGATATTTACAGGGTACCATGTGTATATGGCATGATATTTAAATCAAGGGAAACAAATGTATCTCCACAAACACTTCTTTCTTTCTTTTCTTATAGATTTTGAAATACTGTTTATCATTAGATACAGATCAAAAGTGATTCACCAGCCAGTCTCTTGATAGATTCTGTGTGCACGTGTGTGCGAGGGTGTGCGTGTGCACACCAGTGCCAGCACTGGGAGGTAACTCGGGGCTTCGTGTCCCCCTCAGCCTTTTCATTCTAGATTGGGGTTTTGCCACGCATGCCATCGCTCTATGTCTGGATTTTTGCTCATCTGACATAGAATATATAGGCGAGGTGAAGGTGCTTTTTTTGTGGTGGGTAATTCTCTGAGGCACTGTTAATTGGAGAATCTCACAGATTTTCCAGCGCAGGCTTTGCCTACTGTGATATCTAGATCTCAGCCTCCTGAGTAGTGAGGATTACAGGAGTGAGATACCAGCCACTCAGTTTTGTTTTTGTTTTTTTTTACATACTAGTCACCCATGAAATGCTCTGCAAAGGTTCTGAGACATCTGTATTACTTTAGGAAATTCCTAGAAAAGCTTAACTCCAAAAATGTCCAGGGAGCAGCTTATCACAGTGATGTCTGATGGAGACAATTTGTCACTTCCTCTACCACCAAAAAGGCGGAACTTTAATGTGAGCAACAGGAGTGGATAAAAGAGGAGGAGGCAGCAAGGTAGCACCAAAGCCTAGGTAGAAAGGTAAACAAAGAGTTCTTCCAAGAAAAACAACTCCTTATCCCGTCAGATACCAAGCATAGCTGAGACATTCTGTTTTCTCTTTCTTTTTTTTGGCTCTGTCTTCCCTGATTAGATCTGAGCAAAACCTGACAAGGCTAAGAAGCTGGCCAAGCACTTCTTGTTGTGGGTGGGCTGGTGTGCTCGCCTAATCCATCATCCACAGCCTTCCAGAAAGACACTGAGAAGCTGGCGGCCTCTCCAGACAGGACACGAGTCCCAGTATTAGAAGAAACGTCTTCAGTATCCTCCGATGTTATGGAAAGCCTCGTTTCTCCAAGCCTTGGGAGCCTGTTGAAACCATTCCAGTCCCTCCTTTAGCTACTTTATTTTGAACCCAACTGCAAACAACACACATACAGGAACACTACTGGAGCTCATCTGTAGAACACATCGGTGGGGTGAATGTGCTTTCTTTGTAATTCTCCAAGGCAGTGTTTGAGGAGTGCCTGTATGTATGTCAACAGCAGCCACAGTTATATCGTGCATTAGAGTTAGTGTGGGGGGAACCCCACAAAGAAAGAAAGATAGTGTATTATACATTTTTTCTGAAAAGCATATTTCCCTATTTGGAATCTTGGCTAGTCATGTGTCTTCTCCTTTGACCTACACTGTAATTTTTCTTCTTGTTTATTGCTTGACTCGGTCTGGACCTATATTTCAGCACCGATTTTTTTTTCTACAGGAACTGAGATGGAAAATTGGAAGAGGGATCTTTGAGCAATCCCTACTATTCTTTAGCCAAGAAGTTTCTTCTAGAAAGTTCTAATGTGACTCACCGTTCTCCAGTAAAACCCGGCTGGCAGATACATTTTAATTCTGCTTGGAACTCGATGCAGCTCCCTCCATGATAGCAAGTGAGATTTGTTTTCTCGTTCCCACAGGCCGTGGAGGGCAATCCGCTGTGACTAGAGAGATAAGAGGAATAACCACAGTGGTTTATCTTATTCATTTCATTCAAGGAAGCCTTCTTGAGACGTTCGTGGATGGCCTCAACGCTAAGCTAATTAAGGATGAGAGCCATGGGAGCTATAAATGCACTGCATGATATAAAAACAACCATTTCTTTAGCATAAAGTTCCTTCTAGAAAGTCCTGCAGCTTGTCTGACTATCCACCTTTTCTCTACTGTACGAAGCGTTCACTCAGAAGCTAACGATCTGTGACATTGAGGGGACAGGAAATTTAAGGCTGGAAAGGAACCTGCTGCAGCCGGCTTTGCTCCTGCTTTGCTAATAAATCAACAAGGGCCAGAGGAAAATTGCATCTCGACAAAGGCCAGGAAAGCCAGGACGGCGCTGTGGTACCCAGGCACGCACGTGACTTCTCTGCTAGCTCTCAGTGCTGAACTCTGTTTGCCCTGCCACCACTCGCTCCCTCCTGCCCGGTAACTCATGGCGTGCTGAGCCAAAGGCAAGACAAGTGCTGGCGGGCGGGGAGAGAGGACTGACTGACCGCCCAGCGCTCAACGGAACTGAGTGTGAAGCCACCCAAGGCGCTTGCTTGTGGAACACCAAAGTCGTGCAAGTTAGCAAATCCTTGTAAAAGGCAGAACAGATGACTAAAAGCTAAGCAGGGATGAGCTCTGGTGATTCATGTTTGCCATTGTTGTTTTAAATTTGCTAAATAACTGAGTCATGATGGAGAGGTGAGAGGGATGATATTAACAGGGAATTCATCCCAGGGCTTTGGCAAGAACTCCTAGAGACTTTTCAGTATGTAGACCTTCCACCCATTCAGAGGGGCTCCTTAATGACATCATCTCCTAGCAAACACAGCTATAGGAAACCCTACATAGGATCTATTATTGCACAGCTCCTACACTGCCAAGGTACAGTGAAGATGCTAAGTGCCGACGTTCCACTAAGATGTCACGTCCATGGAGTTAAGCAACAGATAACTTTCTTGATTAAGAGAAAGAAGAAGCCATGATCCAGCTCCTTAGCATCCCACAGTGCCTGTGGGCAAGTAAACTTCCACAACTGAGTAACTGATTCTCCACAACTTTTACCTGCTTAATTTCTCAATGTCAAGTTCTAAATCCTAAAGTTCGAAGTCCTAAACATCTCTCATGTACCTTCCAATGCAACGGAGAAACTGTTGATTGGACCTAACGTGTATCCACGCCTCATAGTTGCATTGCTACCTGACCTTTCTCAAAGCTAGTTGGCATTTTTTTTTTTTGAAGCCTGACATGTCCTTACGATATTTTCTGTTGAGGGTAGAATTGACTAGCTCTTGTGAGAGGAGACAAATTTACCACCATGAGGTGTAGGTCCTCTGCGTTAGCAACAGCACAGACAGAAGTAAATTTACTTTACACTTCCTCAGTGTTTAGTCTGTATCTGATAACGCACACATGTCCTGGGTAGAAAAGAAGCACAGTAACCAAATCGTTCCCACGCGACCCCTTCAGGCTGCTAGTTTGGGCCTAGCAACTAAATTCTGTGGTGATGATGGTGATGGTGATGATGGTGATGATGATGATGGTGATGATGGTGATGGTGCTGGTGATGATGGTGATGATGATGATGATGATGGTGATGATGGTGATGATGATGATGATGGTGATGGTGATGATGGTGATGATGGTGATGATGGTGATGATGATGATGGTGATGATGTGATGATGATGATGTGATGATGTGTGGGTGTGGGTGTGCTCGTTCTGATCACCATTATGTCAGCTTTTTAAGACAAATATGTACTTCAAGGTGGATTTTTCAGGACTTTACAAACCATCCGGGGTTCAGAGGGAGATGGTTTTGGATTCGCTGTAGTGTATTTCAGTCCTGTCTGCTTCCGAGGACTGTGAGCCCCTCGGCAGTCCAACTCGTGGTGCTGTGTGTGGAACATTCCAGAAAGGCAAATCCCACCATGGCAGTGGGAGCTGAGCCAGGCCGTCCTGGCCCCGGGCGGGCGCGTAGGGACCACGCACGCCCCCCCCCCTCCCGCGGGCCGGGCG